CCCCCCCACTCACTCTCCCCCCCCCCCCTAAAAAGCCATAATATAAATGCAAGAACTCTTGGGCAGTAATGACAACTGATGGCGAGATTCCCCTCGCAATTCTTTTTTTACGAAGGAAAGCAAGCCTTGCGTACGTTCACAGGAGAGTCATCTATTTCTGTTTTGTTTGCAATCCATTCAGATTTCATTTTTTTTAAAGCAGGCTATTTTTTTTAAAAAAAAACCACAGCTGGGGGGTGAATCAAAATTTATTTGGATTTCTAAAAATCCTTTTAACATTTATTTTCTTTCTTTCTTTCTTTTTTTTAGCTTATCCTGGATTATAGTGGAGAAGCCCTATCTTTGTCTAGGCTCTGGGCGAGATTAGGAGAAGGTCTGAATGCAAACACAGCCCTGAGCAAGCCAGTTTTGCCCCTTTGGAAAAGCAGATTTAAGTAATTCAGCCCCAGGAAAGAGTTACCATGCCATGCCTGAAAGAACCATATAATTTGCATTCAAAGCCATCTACCATGTGGTGGAAAGCTGGGGGGAGGGGCAGAATTTCTAATCCCCTCCCTCCCTCCCTCCCTCCCTCCCTCCCTGTACCAATCCCCCACTTGCCTCCATGTGGTCTAGTACAATGGCCAGGACAATAGATGGTTTTAAAATTAGAAGTATTATTTCTTTGCTGAGAGGTATATCACGCTGCAGAGAAAGATGGGTCTAAGACAGTCATGCTTTTAGCACTGGGTAAGGGAAGAGGATTTATAACGAAATGCCAGCTCTACATTTCTTTTCTTAGAGGGTTAGCCAGGTTATACAGTTGCAGCAAAAAAAACGTTTTGGCTACACTCTTCTTGCTCTATACGTTTTGTTTCCAGAAAGCCACAACTTTCATAAACGAAGTATGGTCCAGCTTCTCGACAGGCTAGGGGTTGGAGCTTAAAACAGCAGACTGATGAGCAATGTTCCCTCTAAGCTGAGTTACTGTGAGCTAGCTCACGGTTTTTGAGCCTCTGGCTCACACATTTTTGTCTTAGCTCAGGAAGGATGGCACCAGAGCAAACCAATTTATGCAGTAGCCAAATCAGCTGCTCACAACTTTAATGCCAGTAGCTCACAAAGTAGAATTTTTGCTCACAAGACTCCATAGCTTAGAGGGAACATTGTTGATGAGGACCAAAAATGGACTCTTAGGCTCCAAAGCGAGCTGTTGTTTTCA